TGTACTTCATTTCAAATTTCAGTCTGTCCTTGACGTTTTTCTTGGAGAGAAGTGGCTTCTTTGCTGCCCTTCTTGGCCATTGTCCAAAAGTCTTAGCCTCACTGTGTGTGCAGATGCTCTCACACCAGCCTGCTGCCATTCCTGAGCAAGCTCTGCACTGCTGGTGACATGATTCTGTAGCTGACTCCTCAGGAGCAGACGTCCTGGCGCTTGCTGGACAGTCTGGGACATCCTGAAGACTTCTTCACTGCAGTCGAACCTCTCTCCTTGAAGTTCTTGATGATCCGGTAAATGGTTCTTTCAGGTGCGATATTCTTTGTAGCAATTTCCTTGCATGTGAGGCCATTTGGATGCAAAGCGATAATGGCTGCACGTGTTTCTTTGGAAGTAACCATTGCTAACGAACACAATGATTGGAAGCGCTTCTTCCCTCCTTTTATAGCAATCAGTCTGCTCTTACAATCTAATTAGTATGATAGTGATTTTACCTGACTAGTACTCATTCATTTTTTCACATGTGCTGCTGATATGATTAGTCAATTAATGTTAGCTGGTCATTTTGTGTCAAGATCAAAAAACAGTGACATTTTTTTTTGTGTGTGTGAAAAGTTCATTTTTTGGCCAATAAACCTTTTAGCAATTATTTAAAGTGCATCTGATCACTCTACACAAGAAGCTAGAAACAATGTGAATGACCACCACAACAGCTTAAGCAGCAAACTTTGCAAAACACTAAATTTATGTCACTGCCAAAACTTTGGGCTATCACTGTACATCTGTAATCCGTTTATGTACCCTGATCATAAGGTGATACTGCGGTCATCCATGAGCTCAGGCAATTTCCCATGGCCTTCAAGGAAGTGGACAGTAGAGGATTTCTACCACTCCAACAAGCCGCCATGCAACCATCAGGGAAAGTACTGGAGACAATTCTGGGTGAGTCCTGAACATGGATAGACACAATTCTGATAGAAATTTAAGGGTTGAATAAGTTACTGAGACTGTATCAGACATATATACTTTACATTTGGTTTTGAGATATTTGATAAATCATATAATCCACAGTCTCCAGCCAGCCAAACTTGGAGGAGACAAGTAGGAATGGAGAGACTGCCTTGACTTTAGCAGTTCAAGCTGGACTAGAGGAGAATATCAGGATCCTTCTGGAACATGGAGCATTACCACATAACCCCAACAGCAAAAAGGAATCTCCACTTCTGCTGGGTGAAGTGCAACTTACCTGTTGATTAGTTGCCCTGTTGATGGTACCTGCTTGTACTTTCCATAATAACTATAACTGTCTTCTTTATTTCGCCCAAGCTGTAAGAGTCCGATCTTATCAAATGGTGTACGCTCTCATTGCACATGGAGCTGTAGTGGATCAGGTATGTTCTAAGAGGTGGACGGCACTGCATGAAGCAGCCCAGGTGGGCTGCGTTGACATTTTAATGCTGCTGCTGAGACGTGGCGGCCAGGTGTCAGTGCGGGATTGTCATGGAGTGACACCATTGAGTGTAGCAGCAGAATGTGCAAATCTTGAAGTCCTCCAAGTTCTCATTGATATTGGTGAGAACCTTTGATTTCACAAATGAGAGAAAGATTAAACAAGATTTGTCTTAATTGATTTTAATCCATCCATCTTGACAAGGAGCTGATGTGAATGCACAGTCCTATAAGGGAGAAAGTGTGTTGATGGATGCAGCTGGTTCTGGAAACCCAGACTGTGTGGATCTTCTGCTTGAACATGGAGCCTCACCAGACCTGGCCAGTTTGACCGGGCATCTTCCTATTCATCGTGCAGCCTTCGAGGGCCACTACCTGTAAGTGTGGAATAATTTAAAATAGGTAAACACTAAAATACCATTAGCGTGAGGGTAGTTGCTTCTTTTTGTTAACTGTTGGCATTTTTGGCGCAGTGGAAACACTTTTTCACGCTCTCGCTAGTTTAATTTGTCCACTAACAATGTCTAAGTGTATAGAAATCACTGGAGATTCTATCCTTTTGTCTTCATTTTTTTCTAAAAATTAATAAATTCTCACCAGTGTCATAATCTCAGATGATGTACTGTTTAAACGTCACATTTTTAATATATTTGGATTAAAATGGCAGACTCCTTTGTCTTGCTAAGTCTAATTTCACAACTAGCATTTAATGTATCATAAATACAGACAAGTAAATAATATTTTCACACTTTTTATATAATTTGAAAAAATTACAATTTGACTGGAAATAATGTACAATTTTGTGATGTTCAGCTTGATTTTCTTCTTACTTTCTTCTTTTTCTTCTTTTTTTTTCTGCACATAATTTCATAAATTTTACTTCCAGCTCTGGTAAACAAGCTCAGTAACAGTAACTAAACAGTACCTTAAAATAATAATAATAGTTAGGGGGAAAATTCTAGCTATTTTGGAAAATACGGAGCCCCTAAATGGACATGGTGATGGAAAAAGGCAAAAGTTTTACGATATGTGCATTTCACTCTTTGGTAAGATTATCATAGATTTATACATAATAATACATTTTTTTTAATGATGGAATTGTTGGAAATCTACATAAAAGGCATTTGGGGGAAAAATAAAAAATAAATGCTGACATAGAATATAGTTTCCAAGTCAGTTTAATGTGATATTCATAAAAAAAGTGTGTTAATTTGAATAAAAATCAACCTCTATTAACAGTCAGAGTAAAAATTTAAAGTGATCATAATCGTACACACGTATACTAACCTGCGTCATACCGATTCTATTTTCAGTGCGTTGAAAAAACTGATATCTGTCACAAGCAAAATGGCTCTCATAGAGTCTGGTCAGAGTCCAGTACACTCTGCTGCAGATGGAGGTCATGTGCAGTGCCTGCAGCTCCTGGTTGACAGCGGTTTTGATGTGAACGCTCTACTTGACCAAACCATCTCCGACAACTACAGTGACATGCGTAGGAGCGCCCTTTACTTTGCCGTCTCAAATGGAGATGTAACTTGCACAGAGATGCTGTTGAATGCCGGAGCCAAACCTGATCTGGATCCCCTGCAGTGCCTCCTAGTGGCGGTGAGAGTTGGGATGTACGAGATTGTCAGGATTCTCCTGGCCAGCCGAGCAAATGTGAACTGTTACTTTACTGAGGTCAACGACACAGTGTTTCCCACTGCCTTACAATACTGCCTGAAGGATGAGGAGATGATGCGATTACTACTTAATCATGGATATGATGTAGACAAATGTTTCCATTGTCACCATCTTTTTTTTTCTGCACATAATTTCATAAATTTTACTTCCAGCTCTGGTAAACAAGCTCAGTAACAGTAACTAAACAGTACCTTAAAATAATAATAATAGTTAGGGGGAAAATTCTAGCTATTTTGGAAAATACGGAGCCCCTAAATGGACATGGTGATGGAAAAAGGCAAAAGTTTTACGATATGTGCATTTCACTCTTTGGCAAGATTATCATAGATTTATACATAATACATTTTTTTTTATGATGGAATTGTTGGAAATCTACATAAAAGGCATTTGGGGGAAAAATAAAAAATAAATGCTGACATAGAATATAGTTTCCAAGTCAGTTTAATGTGATATTCATAAAAAAAGTGTGTTAATTTGAATAAAAATCAACCTCTATTAACAGTCAGAGTAAAAATTTAAAGTGATCATAATCGTACACACGTATACTAACCTGCGTCATACCGATTCTATTTTCAGTGTGTTGAAAAAACTGATATCTGTCACAAGCAAAATGGCTCTCATAGAGTCTGGTCAGAGTCCAGTACACTCTGCTGCAGATGGAGGTCATGTGCAGTGCCTGCAGCTCCTGGTTGACAGCGGTTTTGATGTGAATGCTCTACTTGACCAAACCATCTCCGACAACTACAGTGACATGCGTAGGAGCGCCCTTTACTTTGCCGTCTCAAATGGAGATGTAACTTGCACAGAGATGCTGTTGAATGCCGGAGCCAAACCTGATCTGGATCCCCTGCAGTGCCTCCTAGTGGCGGTGAGAGTTGGGATGTACGAGATTGTCAGGATTCTCCTGGCCAGCCGAGCAAATGTGAACTGTTACTTTACTGAGGTCAACGACACAGTGTTTCCCACTGCCTTACAATACTGCCTGAAGGATGAGGAGATGATGCGATTACTACTTAATCATGGATATGATGTAGACAAATGTTTCCATTGTCACCATGATTTCCATTTCTACATGGGGTTTGCTTGGAAAGACATACATCTACATAAACCATGTTGTGTCATCTGTGATGGCGAAGACAAAATACCTGTGAGTTTTGGGCCTGATTACTATTGGGTACAAGGTTCTGTTTCCACAGCCTACATAGACAGCATTTTAAGCAGTCCTGACAGAACCACTTTTTCAAATAGCAGCATAGAATAGTAGGTAATACATTTGGTTTGAACTAGGGATGTCCCGATCAGGTTTTTTGTGTCCCTGATCCAATCAGTCTTTTTCTGATCTTTCGATCTAATATTGCGAAATACGGTCACTCAATTTACTTTAAAACGCAAAAGGAGACAACAGAAAATGGTACATATAGCAGCAACTTTTGTGTCTGCTCTGAAAGCTGCAAAGCTACACCGGATGCTGTGGGTTTGTGTTAGAATCAGGAATGGTAAGATAACATAGCATGTGCTTTTTACATTTTGTTTTCACCTTCAAACCAAACATAGAATTTCAGCCAGCTAAGTCTAAAGGCAACAACACGTCCCATAATGTCTAAGAATTAGGTCATTAGGCAGAGAATAGACGGCTTTAGTGGCTGTTAACGCATTTGACCACACGAGCGTCTACACTACAAAAGCAATCCAGTCTTATGCATTTTCGACTACCTCTGGAAGTGGTCAAAAGTAGATAAGCTCAAAACGTTTCAGACCCCCTTTACATCTGTGTTTAGCAGTGTCCAGATTGACAAAAATGCATCTTGTGGTGTAAACAGGGCCAGAGATAGCTCTATGTAATTTAAATTTGACTATTTCACCTAATATTTTGTGCACTACATATTTTTTGTGATTATTAGTGTATTTTCCCATTATCTTTGCAACATGCTAACATCAACAATGTCCTTTCTCCTATCCTCAGTCACTGTGTCCCTGCTCATTTGCATAAAATTAACTATTTGTTGCATCGTTAATGGTCACCTTAACTCAAAATGCCTCAAGCACCACCTCTCATTGGAAATGAACAACTTTCGGTTGGTGTCTAATTGTCAGTGTTGGGGAAAGTTTATTTCAAAATTAAGCAATTCATTACCATATTGTGTTACTCCCTAAAAAAAGTGTAACATTATGTAACGTTTTATAGAAAGTAATGGATTACATTACTTTTGCAATACTTTTTCTCTTTCCATTCAATATAGCAATCGCTGGCACTAGGTTTTGGAATAGAGTAAAGACACTTTAATTGAGCATTTATTTATTTAGTGATAGTTTACAATAAAACATTTGTTATCATTAGGGTTCACAAAATAATGAAAAAATATATTTACAGCATTTATTAATCTGGGTTAATTAAAGTTTCTACATAAGTAAATATTTTTAAATAAAAATTAACCTAGAATATTAAATGCTGTCAAAAATGTTATTCAGTGTTAGTTTTGCGATACCAAGTTCATTGACTAACTGAACATTACATGTTACCATTTATTTTATATTACTAAATTGCTATGTTTATGTTGCCATTACATCACAGTTCTGTGACTTCATGAGTTTGAGCTGCCTGGTTGACCTGTCTGGACGAGTGGTACTGATCCTACTGGACTATGTCATCTGCGTCCCCCTCTGCTCACGACTGATATCCATCCTGGAGAAACAAAAGGAGTGGGCAGAGATATGCACCATCTTGAGTGAGTTCACTGGGTTCACTTTTAATTATTTATCTGTTCAGCTGGTCTTTTCATGACATATGTGAGTCTCATTCTGGCTCAAATGAAGAAACTTCTGCAAACTACAGCTCACAGTCTCAAATTGACCAAATGCATGTGAGAAGATGTTGTCTAGCAACAGATTGATGGTTCTCTAGTCTCAGGGAATGCAGACTAATAGCTTTTGAATTTGTTCCAGACAACCCACGATCCCTGAAGCACCTCTGTCGTCTGGAAATCAGAAAACACATGACCATTAAAAGACTCTGTAATACCATTATAATGGATTCTTTTCCACCTCCGATTAAAAATTACCTGCTGTACAAGGAATATGATCTGACTTGATCAGTACAAATATAACAATGAATTTAAGTTTTCTTGTCTGAAATGTTCTTTCACTGAATGTTAGATATTGTGCTATGTACTGTATCATCTTATTGTCAGTTATATAAAATATTAATTGATAACAATTTGTATAAACATAACTGTTTGGATACCAAATTCGAGCTGTATAGATTAAGATCACAAATAGCATTTTATTATGTTAATTGTATTTATGCAAGATGGTGAATCCTATATTGTACAGTGATTAAAATGATTTTCTAACTGTCTGGGATACTAAATAAAGTACACTTTCATATGTTCATTTGACAGAGTCAGTGTGCTATTATCAAGGTTTCTTCTGCTGTGCTGTAATTTATTCTTTGTTTCATCTTCTAAACTCCTTCTAGATGCTTTTGAGTCAGAACAAAACGATTTTGTTCGAAGGCATTGTCTATTATCCTACTCTTTCCATTTTAACCCTCAAATTTTTCTATACCACCCTGCATTTTATCAATTCATTTTTAAACCATACAGTCATAATCACCAAACCTGAAATTTCATGAGACTGCTTATAAACATCTTTACGCTGTTAATTTGTAAACTCAAATATATATTTATGCTCACATTCGTAGTTATTCTTTCATAATCCAACCTCATAAAGTCCCATTTTTTTTATTCCTTCATTCCTTTTGACCATGTAGACCGAAAACCAACACATTGCCCAAGACTTACAGACTAAACATTAAGACAATTGAAGCATTTTTTCAAGCCACTGTGAGATTTTCCAAGATTTTTTTGCTCTAGTTATTCATTGAACACATGGTGGCTATAATGCAGTGCCTCTGGGATTTCCCCTGCTGCAAAGTTATGTCTGCACTGTATACAGTATATCAGTAGCTGCACTCTTTATGGGTCAATTACATTTATAGAAGGCTATAAAAAAAGTATACTGTATACAAACATTGAAAATTGGCGGAATTGCAGTAACTTGAGAAAAAAAAGGTAATTTTGTAAATTAATCATTTCAGCCATCAAATCAAATTACAGGTGTTTATTTGCACCTGTTACTAAAAAAAAACTATATTTTTATGCACACAAAAAAAAATCAAGTGATTATGTGGTCATTTGACTTTAATGGTGTGCATGGCAAAGACCAGAGCAGGTGAACGCCAAATTTAGATGCATGTCTGTTGCTGTTTTGAGCATGGGAAGGGGAAGCACTCAAATTCAGATTGGGTGCACCTAAAGTACTGGCACAGCAGTGAGAGACGCGTGATTTCACTGGAACTGTATTTCACAAGGTGAGATTAGAGCCTTTGTTTACTGTTCGGTGAAGTGTGAATGATTCATTGGAAGTGCCGGACGAAGTGTCGGTTGTGCATGCTCTAGTTCAGCATTTCCTTGAAACTAACGCAAAGTTAGTTTCCAGCTGTGTATAAGTGTTGAAATCTGCCTGTTTGGCTGTGAGGACTGTAAAAATGTAAGTGTTTCTGTGAAAACAACTTCTTTGAAAAAGACAGACTGAGTGTGAATTCCTTTTAACTACAGCAGAAGCGTCTTTATAGAAACTGACTGGTCACTTCAACCTTTCCATTATATGACTAAAGTGTCATATTAAAGTATTCTGAGAATTTGGCTTTGGTTAAAACAATATACTTGACGTCAAAGATGACTTTTATAACACGTATCACGAACAATGCGAGTAAAAACATTATATTACTCTCCACATGTTCATATAAAAGCTTTTTATTTACCTCCAGGTAAATGGATCCATTAGATGACCTAGAAGACGAAGATGAGCTTCTTGATGCTGCAATTCAACTGAGCATTCAGGAATTGTGTAAAGACATCGCCTCTCTCGGAAGGTGTGATGTTCACATAAGAAGTTGCCTTTTGGAATCTTGAAATAGAGCAAACATATCTTAATAAACATTATATTACAATCCACTTTTTCTATCCTGCAAATAAACCCAGTGTGGAACATAAAAAGATCTTGGATGCAATATTCCGAGGTGAAATTTCCCACCAGATTTTATGCTTGATTATTATGCAATTAGGTTAAATGGAAAATTCACATCAAAAAGTTAATCATTTCATTTGGCTGAATTATGTTAAATGAGGATAATTAGCTGTGTTGCTAAGTGCAACATTGTTTCATCTGTCCCCACAGGTGACCTCTTTGCTCTTCAGGAGCTGTCGGACTATCCTGCCGCATTCACTGAGGTGCATAGATTCCCAATTCATAGGGCTGCTGTCCAGCAGTCTGTGCAGGTGCTGGAGATGGTACTTTATGGTGAGCTAGAGTAGAAAGTCCACTGCAGTAACTTGCAAAAGGGAGTTTGGTTTTATACAACATTTCAATAAACAAGAAATTAATTTTGAGTAACACTATCACAAGTTATTTTGACCATTTTTGCTCCACCAGTTAAAATATTCCCAAACAAAGCCATAGCAGAATCAACCATTGCATGTCTCAGAGCAACACACATTAGAATGTTTCTGAATGAATCATTTACATAAATGATTCAAAGACTCTCTCATATAAGTCACTTGGTTTAGTTCCTGAATTAATGTTTTTGAACAAATTGGTTGAGTGAATGATTCAGTGACTCATTTACAATAACAGTTGCTTGTTTCGTTCCTAAAAGAACAAAACAAAATAACTGATATTAACTGCATCAAGTCCAAGTTTCAAGTCAGATATACACTCAGTGGTTTGGTTGAAAAGGTTCTTACAGGTTGAGCTTAGAGGAGGAAACCGCAGATGGAGAGACACCATTGATGTTGGCGACTCAGGCTGGGCTGGTGGAGATCGTTAGGACTCTGCTTGAGAATGGAGCTTCACCTAACAGAATCAACAGCAAAAATGACTCCCCTTTATTATTGGATAGGTATCATTTGCAATTTCTTTAGTGTCTTCAGTGCCTTTTTAATGAGCTCTTATGTTTTGTTTTGGAGCTGTAAGAACAGACTCATTTGAAATCACCTTTACACTTATATCACGGGGGGCATCGGTTAACCAAGCCTGCCCTAAAAAGTGGACAGCCATTCATGCCAAGGTGGGCTGCACTGACATTCTTACGCTCCTGCTGCAAAATGGAGGAAATGTCTTGGAGACAGACGAGCATGGAGTGACGCCCATGGGGATTGCTGCGGAGTACGGACAAGCAGAGGTGCTGGACATCCTTATTCACTATGGTAATACTGGTTGACCAATGTTTCTAGAAGAAAAAAAAATTAGTACAGATTCACATTATACATTTACATATTTACATTAAACCAGTAAACTAACACTAAACCATGATGTCCTCCACACCAACAGGTGGCGATGTAAATGCTCAGGCGCCAAATGGAGACAGTGTGCTATATGATGCTGCTGGCTCTGGCAATCCTGACTGCATTGAACTTTTACTTCAACATGGGGCCAATCCCAACATCGCTAATCTTTCCTTACAGCTTCCCATCCACTGTGCAGCGTACAAGGGGCATTACCTGTAAGTTTAACGAAATATGCTAATCTTTTGCTAGTTTCTTCACTCTAATCTCTAACTAAAATTAAACTGGACTTTGGAATTGGAAACCGACTAGAGACGGCATTAGCCTTGCAATATTTGCCTGGACACAACAAATCTAATCAGAATTCACCACTAGAGGTTTTGAACAAACTCCTAATCTAGGCATTGAATGTTGATGAATAACTCCCCCAATCCCACTCTCCTTTTTTTTTACAGAAAATGTTAAAATTTAGTTGAGTGTGATATCTTTTACAGCGCCTTAAGAATGTTAATCCCAATAACCACAAGGAGAGCCCTCCGTCTCTCAGGCCAGAGCCCAATTCATGCAGCTGCAGATGGAGGCCATGTCCGATGCATGGAGCTCCTGGTGGACAAAGGTTTTGATGTCAATGCTCTTCTAGACACACGTTTCTGAAAAATATGGAGACATGCGAAAGACCGCTTTGTACTTTGCGGTCTCCAATGGAGATGTGACTGGCACCCAGTTGCTGTTAAATGCCGGAGCCAAAACGGATATGGATCCCCTGCAGTGCCTCCTAGTGGCGGTGAGAGCTTGGTGGTACAAGATTGTCAGGATTCTCCTGGCCAGCCGAGCAGATGTGAACTGTTACTTCACAGAGGTCAACGACACAGTGTTTCCCACTGCCTTACAATACTGCCTGAGGGATGAGATGATGATGCGACTGCTGTTAAACAATGGTTATGATGCAGAAAAATGCTTCTGTTGTCCTCATGACTCAACATGGTGCCACTCCTCAGAATATACCAGTGAGAAGGTTCCAGTAAGTTCACCACTAATGTCTCTGTTCCAAAACCTAGTGTCACACCTGTGAATGAATAAGTGCATACTATAGTGTTGTCAAAACAAATGCGTGGATGCACAACAAAACAGCATCAAAACTGGAGCGCGAGTATGGCAAAATGCCTAAGCAGCAGCAGCTTCTTACTGCTATACTTTGTTTAAATACGGTGCCATGACGAGATTCAGGTGCGCTCGTGTCAAGCACTAGTCACCGATCGGACCTACAAAAACAAAAGAAAAAACAACCAGAACCACATCACAACAACTGGGTCTTAACACTAGTAAGTTGCCAACATATGCACACTCCAGTTTATTCCCAAATGTATAAAACCCAAGATGGCAAACAAAATGAGATTAGTTTTTTTTTTATGTGTATATTCATTCAATACGTAAAAGTATCAATAAAAATGGTTTAATCCAAGTAGAATGGACTATTTTACCCAATATTTGTATTTTTATGCCAAACTTACTTTATGCTACTATTGCAGCATTAGCTTAGCAACATGCTAATAGGAAACACTACTGAAATCAATCGTGAGTAGAGTCTCCTGCACAATTTACATTAATTTCTATGTAGTGTTCCAAATTTTACTCAATGTGTATTTGTATTTTACTTCAGGTGCTGTAGCATTAGCTTAGCAGTATGCTATCAGCAAACTCTTAAAATCAATTGTGAGTTGATTATTCCATACTAGGAGCCCTAG